CGAACAACGAGCCAAATTGACAGCCCTATTGGAGACGGAAGTGAGGCCCAATTTCATGTTTAGAATTTTTTCTTGAAGTTCTCTTGCAATGACCCATTTCAAATTATCCCGCTATTATGCATTTTTTCATGTTGGTTTCTGGCGGTAGAACCTTATGATCACATCACGTGAACCTGACAGTGCTATGATGTGTAATACTCACATGATATGGGTTAACATCCTACATATATGGTTTGGTAAATCTATCATGTGATTCAGCCTTTGGATTTCTTTTGTGCTGGAACTAAAGTTCTCCACTTTGCATTTCTCTAGGATCATATTCCGAATGAAGCCACAATGCAACAAGCGGTTGGGCTACCATCACCAAGCACATTAAACAGTAGATCACCTTTTAGCCATCGGAGGGGACCAAGTGACATTGATGCACTTCGAGCTTCTCTTCAACCTTCGCCCTTCTCCCGCAATCCTCTCCAAACACCGCCAGGTTTCAGGACGCATCTGCCCATGAGCCAAGCTTCGAGCATTTCTTTGCAATCTCCCAGCCTTCCATCTGTGGTTCGCCAGCCATCACAAAACACAATCGGCCTTGCAGCTGGTAATTTTGCAAATCAGCGAAGTCTTGCTCAAGCTTCTCTGCCACCCCAGTTTTCAAGATCGCTGTCCACTTCCGCGTCCAATTTGCCGGCATCTTGGGAGAACTCGAGAGTGGTCGGTACAGATCGATGGAGGAGCATGACAGGGGGAACACCTTCACCACTTCAAAGGTCAGATGGGCTTCCTGAGCTTCCATCTGAGCAGAATTGGAGACCAATTGGTAGAATGAGGGGCAGCTTGACTGGCAGTGATTATTCAGCTGTTATAAGTAACTATATGCCCCCTTTGAACCAGACCGCTACAGGTAGGCCCTCATCTTCTCTCTCAAACTCTGATCAGTTTTCAGCATTAATTGCCAACAATCTCTTGTCTCATGGAGTACTGAATCACCAAATTAACCCTAGTCAGGATAATTTTAGCACTCAACAAGGAGATACAAGGATTTAACTCTAAACCCTACTGAAAGTATCTGTTTTCACCTGTAGATTCATTGATCGCTGTACATTTACATATCTGCAGTGGCTCTATAGTGAGTTGTTTTTTTATTTTTTTACTTCTTTTTTAACTATTCAAGTAGCTGAGTTACCGTATAATGTTGAGTGTGATCAAATATGTTAAAATGATAGATGTGTCCGTTCATAATTATGCGAGCTTCCTTGTTTGCTCTTTGTGCCTTTATATGGCTCTGCGTTGTTACATGGGAAGTATGTTGGTGCAGGAGAAATTGTTTGCTATGTTTAAGAGCTTAGAGAGCACTTTAATACAATACTATGGTTTTTTTATTTGGTTTTTTTTTTTTTTAAATCTTTAGCGATGGATTGATTGCACTGCTTACTGCTTTGAACCGAAATAAAATAAAGATTTTTATTTTTTTGTTTTTTAAATCTTTAGCGATGGATTGATTGCACTGCGTACTGCTTTGAACCGAAATAAAATAAAGATTTGCACATGTGCCCATCAATTCCTGCGCATTTACATATCTAACGTTAAAACTTCAGTTTTTTTTTTTTTATTTACATATATAAACTATTTTATGTATGCTTGAAAATGTGTATTTCATTTTTATTTTTATTTTTTTTTAAATTTAAAGTGATTTGTTTGATTTGATATGAAAGGTTTTGGTGGTATATATATAAAAAGGTATATAGCTTAGGTGTTTAGGGTTAAAATAACTCGGAATTGGTGGTATGTATATAAATGCTTATAAAATAAAATATAAATACCAGACGCAATATGCTTCCAGGTTCATGTAATTCTGAGCAGCAGCAGCAGCAAACAGTATGTTTTATAATATAAGATGTAGAACCTGTTTTTAACTATTTTTTATTTTTAAATCATTTATTTTGTATGTTTAGGGTTTATTTTTAATTAAATAAATTAATCTATTTTAAAATATTCCAAAGTTTTTTGAGTTAATGTTGAGTGTGTTTTAAAAGAATCTGTCATCGTTTTATCCCGCCTCTCACTATTGAACCAACCTTCATTTGTCGCCATCAAAATCAAATATAAAAAAAACGTTTTATTTAATAAAATTTTAAATACATATAATACAATTTATACGTACTTTAGTATCTAACTTAAAAGTTTGATGTTTATGAATATATTAATCAAGTGTCAAAAATGCATTCTATTCTATTTTGATAATAATAATGATATTTTTCATGCATATAAATACAAAAATTTTTGCCTTAGATATATAAATAAATAAAAATTAATCGACTTTATCATGTCAAGCATATTTTATTAAATTAAAGTGCAAAAAAAAAAAAATAAATGAATAAAGTTATTACTTAGAGAAAAATTCTCAAAGGGCCCTTAGTTTTTAAATAGCAACTAGTTTTCTTCATTTTCTAGCTAGCAGAACATCATCGTTATGGTAACAAACAACAGTTATTTGTTATCATAACGATGATGTTCTCCACTCGCCGATAAGAAATCAAACTCGAAAACTTTCTATCTTGATTTACATTGCGCGATACATTCTCCAGAAAATTAGGAGACATCTAGATCCATACCGCTTCTATTACCTAACCGTTTGGGGCAGCTTATTTGGTGCGGTGACATTTTGAGAACGCACCTGGCCTGTTTGGGTAAATTGTGTTTTGACAACTTATGCGTTTTCAAAATACAAAAAACAGTGTTTTCACACCGCACCTATCTAGGTGTGGTGGGAGCTTATTGACAACAGTCTGACTTTTTCAAAAAAAAAATAAAAATTTGTAATAGCCACCGCACCTAGCTTATCAGCATATCATTTTTAATCTTCTTATCAGCAGATTATTCAATAAGCTACAGAAAATTAAGAGACATCTAGATCAATACCGCTATCTCTATGGCCTAATTCTTGCATATCACGTGAAAATACTACAATTTTAACTTTTAAAAAATAAAATACGCTTTTTCATGCACAAGTAAGACGGACATATATGTAAAAATTAAAGTTCAGTTACTAGATATGTAAATACATAAGAATTTAGTGGGTAAGTGTGTAAATCTTCCATACATTAATATATACTGCTTACAAGCCCATCGTGTAACCGTGTGTTTATTCTTAGGATGATTAGGATCCCTTCTGTTATCATGAATATTGGAGGATGAATTTCGCAAATGGAAACATTTCAATCCACTTTGGATAGCTGAGATTTGATTCTGTGAGGGTGGTATGGTTCCTTTGATCTGTTTTCCCAATTCCTGAAACTGAAAGAAGGGGGGGAAGGAACATTTACATACATACAACCCAATTCCGATGCATTTACATATCTAACATCTTTACTTCACTTTTTACATTTTTACCGACTAGACCTTTGACATCACATCAAAAATACCACTTTTTTTAAAAAAATTTAAAAAGTGAAATACATCTTTTAATGCAAGGGTAAGGTGGTATATATTTAAAAACTTAGGTTCAAGTGTTAGATATGTAAATACATAAAAATTAAGTGGAATGTTTGTAAATCTTCCGACAAAAAAAAAAAAGCTTGGGTTGTGTTTTGGAAGTTGGGAAATAGAGTGACACAAATAAAACAAAAATTAAAGAGCTCCAATTGATAGCTGCATATTCATAATCAACGAAGCAATTATTTGAATTTCATTTCATTAACTTTCCATCAATCCAGACAAAATCACAAATTGCATACTATCAATATTTTAACTCAATATACAATTCACACAAATGAGATCTATAGCTTGGCTATAAGAATGGGTGCCCTTGACCCACTATCATGGCTGCTGATGTTTGCACCAAAATTGTTCCATTTCAGAGAACGAGAAGAGATCTACCAAGATTTCTTATAAAATACTCATGATGATCAGCTATCAAAGCCGGCCTGTGAATTTATCAACTTTTAATCTTGAAATTATTATTTTTCAGATCATAATTTACATATGAATGCTATCAGAAGATTCTGCAATTTCTTCAAATGCCAAAATTTTAACCAAAAATACCTTTCTAATGGAATCATGCAAACAGCCAAAAGGTTTGTATAACCTGCTCAAACAAAGACTAGCAGGTAAAAATATAAACTTTACATCATTCTCCTTGCCAGGAAACATGACAACCGCATAAGTCTCTGTATATAAGACTAATAAAAAATTCATAATTCCTATGCATTCACATATCTAAAACCTAAACTTTACATTTTAAATTCAAACCACCCAAATCTTTAGCATCAACAGTATCATTATTTTGATTTTTAAAAAGTGAAATGCACTTTTTCATTAGTTGTTAGATATGTAAATACATAATACTTGAGTGAATGTATGTAAATCTTCCTTAAAATTAACAAAGGCAACAGAATTCATTCAGTGACCATTAAAAGCAATCACCAACCTATCACTCAATGCATTTGCCATTCTCCACTTAAGCTTACAATGATATCTAATTCTTTACTATAACAACTACTATTTCATTTTGGTTCCCACATAAAAGAAACCGTCTTCCTAAGGAAAAAAAAGTATAGTCCTTCCCCTAATTAATTTCCCTTCTATCAAATGAGTGAATCGCCAGTTTAATGAAGAGAAATTGAATCGCTGCAACTAAAGAAAGAGAGACCTTTATGTAAACAACAATTTTTATAAACTACATGTAAGTCAAGTTTTCATATCAAAATGCCAAATTGTGAGCATAGAAATGCCAAGCTATCTGGTTAAAATAAATTAAAACAAAAAG